TAGTTCGATCGCATATCTCGATTTATTTATCGCATACAGTGTTGAAGTTTTGATCTTTGTTAATGTAATACTGGTGAACCACATTCAGATTGTTTTGTTAAATAAATTCTATAGCTATATAATGGTTGTAGCACGAATGGGTCGGCTCGATCAGGGAAGAACCACGCTCTCATAAAATACCATAGTAAAATAGCAGCTTCATGCTGCTGTGTTTCTGTGTTATGGTGAGTGAAGTAAACCGGAGACATTGTCTAGGATTCCGTACCCAAAGGGTAACCAACGGGACCCTATTACTAAGCCTCCGCTGTCCGTCCGTCCGTCCGTCCGTCTGTCACCGGGCTGTATCTCATGATCTGTAATAGGTAGGCAGTTGAAATTTTCACAGAATGTGTATTTCTGTTGCCGCTATAACAAAAAATAACATTAATTAAAATAAATTAAACATTAAAAAGGGCTTTAAAAATTAATTACGATGGTACAGAACCCTTTATGCACGACTCGTACTTGGTCGGTTTTATTACTGGAAATGAGAGAATTGTCTTTAAAAAGTAATCTGTTGTCTATATTTTAATTCTCAATCGAAGATTAGATGTAGATATCTATGGACTACAGCCTCCTCTTATTATCAGGTGGAATTTGTGTTCGTGTTTCACCCTTGTTCTATAAAAACATACTAATACTGTTTTTATTCTATAAGCATTGCAGTTGTATGAGAAATTTGCCGTGTTAAAAATATGTCGGCGTAAGTTAATCTATTATCCCATATTCCTCTGGAAGTGTCGTATAAATCAACTTTGGGAATTCTAGGTGTTAAGACTCATTTTCTGGGTCAATGTCTAGGTACGTACTACCATACCTATGCTGGTGGGTCGCGGATGTGTGCGAAAGCGTTCGCGTGGCCCTAGCAATATGCGGCAAAGGTATAACATCATGGGGTTTTAGTCGGTGCGTGTCCGACGTAACCCGTCCTTGCGGCGGGTATGCGTAGGCATTTGCCCATTTAAAAAAAAAAGTACGTACTACCCTGGTGCAAAGGATGTAGAGAGCCAATATAATCACAGGTTGTAAAGCATTCTATCTTATTCTTCAAAGGTATGTCAACGCATCTGTTTTCTCTGTCATTCATCATCTGTCTTCTTTCTGTATGTAGTCTTCCTTATTTGAAGTTGACTGTAGATTTTCATAGACTGCCGTAGCCACTTACCATCAGGTGGATTTTAAATTAGTTGGTCACTTCTTTTTTTTAAATGACAGTAAGATAATATACTAATACGGCATTTGATAGAAGGTAAATGGCCAAGTGTTAATACTCAGGTTTGCGACGAAAAGCAGCTTCGGTTAGTGTCTACGGCAGTGTGTCCCAAACATTGTTCTGCCATGGCCCGGTAATTTTTACATTGTACCTTCGTGACCCACTTAATACTTTTAAACCCAAGCTGGTTCCATTAAATTAACGATGCGTCGATCGATAGTAGGTATTACTTTTAAAACAAGGCGGGAATGTTGCGACCCGGTATTTTAATTTAATGGCCCGGTACCGGGTCGCGACCCGGCAAATGGGAAACGGTGGTCTACGGGATAACTGTCATCTATTGGAAGGGGCAAAGTCTTTTTGGCAAAGTGTTCTCTTATGATACGCAAAAGACGAAATGGGGTGATGGATTATCTATTTGACTACACGACTAAAAAAGTAAACTTACAGCCTTTATACGTACCACTACTGGGCACATTCCTACTCATTCCTGAGAAGGTCATGGAGCAATATGGTAAGCGCTGGTCCAGTGCAAATTAGCAGACGTCATATTATGTCCTCGAAATATTTTTTTATTTTGCACTTAATTTTTAGTTTTTAAAAATGGTAATTTATGTCTTAGTAGCATACTAATAAGCCTCCTTCTCCCCTCCCGAGTTTAATAGAAATTAGTTATTTCAGTATTACAGACCAGACATTTAAATTTTATTTAGATATATAGAAATGTTTAGGTTTTCCCCAGATGTTTTACTTCACCGTCAAGCACTTATATTATTTTAAAAATGTAAATATATATATTTAAATAACTACCACACATTTAGCCAAGAAAATAATTCGAAATATAGGTAATAATATTAATAAACAACTCGAAATATTTCGTATAAATCTCCGACGATTCTATACATTGATACCTACAGTCGTCATTGACCGGTTAATGGAACTACTTTTAATATACATCGCTAAAGCATTGTATGTGGGGCAAAGAAAAAATGTAACAGTCTTTAATTTAATTTGATTACTACTGTGTAGTGTAGCTTAGTAGTCGGAGTAGGTAGGTATTTAAGTCATGTATTTTTAATTTGAATTCAGACCGGAGCCAGCGGTGCCAGTATTTCTACAAAAACATAAAACTAGGTTTGTTGTATTCGTTCATGTGTTGACAGGGTATATAGTAAAGTTAAGCTAAGTAAAGTTACACCTTAAATACGTCACACTGCTGTATACTGGCCTCCTCTCATTTATTAGAGATACAGATTAATAAGTCCACCGTCCAGCTCCTCCTCACATGTCTTAAAATAATTTTTGTATTTCAGACAAGCAGGTTTTCTGGCGATAATTTTCTTCATTACCAAGGAAGTGGTAAATCAGCACTTAAAATTTAAATTAACAACTTCACTTGCAGAGGCGGGGATCGAACCCGGGTTTCTCGCCTACTGTTAAGTTTACAACTAGCGCTTGGACACAGGACAACTCACACGACTGGAAACGGGAGACATAGATAGAGACTACGAATTTCCATTTGGGACGATTTTGAAAAATCGATCTTGCTTCTTTCACATTCATATAATACTACTACTACACAAAAATGCTCGTCGATTAAAGAGTAATCTTAATGTGATCCATCTTTAATATATCGCCAATTTTGTCAATGAACTTTCATCTAGGGCGTCCTTTGCCGACTCCGCCACTTCTGCAGACGTACAAAAATCACATATGGCGGACTTAATGCTTTAAGCCATTCTCTCCCAGTCAACCATTAGGCTAAGCAGTGATAAACATAAAGGAGGTAGTGCAGCAAAAATAGATTAATAATGAGAAAAAAATATACGAAGTTCGAATAAACCAGAATATATCCCAGATGCACTCATAATGGATGGCGCAAAATGCGTGCGTTACAATATAAAGTACAAGAAAATATAATAAACAGATCGTTTACAATTCGTCGCAAATATATGGTACGCTTTCCCCGTGATGTTAATTTTAAAAACCCTATAAAAACAACGGTTGGCACATTACCACAGGTACGACGCTTCGCTATAGTAAAGCCTTTTTACCGTTTGCCCTTGATCTGGCCAGTATTTTATAGTCTGACATACTTTGACACTCTTTGCGCATTGTTACGTGTCCAAACCATGAGGCATTCCCTTCTTGAACCTGATCACAATATCTTTCTGTAAACCACACTCTTCTCATATCACACTATTCTTCACCTTATCATTCAAAATCATACCTAACATACTTCTTAATAACCACATTTCTATAGCATTAATTTTACTGCAATGCCACACCTGACTTTCACTATCATACTCGTACATTACCGTTATTAAATCACACTCTTCTCATATCACACTACTCCTCACCTTATCATTCAAAGTCACACCTAATGTACTTCTTAATAACCACATTTCTATAGCATTAATTTTACTGCAATGCCCCACTTGACTTTCACTATCATACTCATACATTACCGTTATTGCCTATCAAAACCCCCCTTCTGAACATAAGCTTTCTCCTAGATTGCCTCATAGGTGGGATATTTGATATAGTTGCCACGCTTGGCAGGTTTAGCAGGGTTGGCAACCGCAGTTTTATATTTTTTAGTTGTTATTAAGAATTAAGTCCATCTCCTCGTTTGTTTCCTTATTTTTAACTGTATAGTGGTGGTGTAAGAATATCCACACCACATATCGTCCCGTGGGCGTCGTAAGAGATGACAGAGGGAAATAAACCATACATTTTACATAAGTTAGCGACTGCAAATTGCCATGCGTGCCATTGGCGCATGACTTGGTAGCTTAGTTTAGTTTTTACTTTATTAGTTTTTTTCTTCGAACGACGTCTTTGTGGAAGCGACTACCGCCAGCTATTTTCTGCCGACTTCCAAAAAGGAGACGGTACTCAATTCGACTGCATGTTTTTTTATGTGTGTCACCTCATAACTTTTTACTGGGTAAACCGATTTCGATGATTCTTTTTTTATTTGTAAGCTGATACTTCTCGTGTGGTCCCATATAAATTTTATCAAGGTCATACCAATAGTTTTTGAGTTATTCTTAATAACTTATATTGAAGTCGGCTGTACAAAATTTTTAATTTTAAATTATTTTGAACAGATACAAATAAGGGACCTTCAAGAAAAGAGCTTACTCCTTTTAAAGGCCGGCAACACACCTGCGATTCCCCTGATGATGCAGTTGTTCATGGGCGGCGGTAGTCACTCACCAAAGTAAAAAAGTATTTCTTTTGTTCAATGAAGCGACGCGTGTAATTGTTTTCCATTTATTTTGATAATTTACAGACAAATATTAAATATATAATATTACACACTATGGCAAGAGCAAATCTCAGTTTAGTACAAACAATATCAGATTACTTCGTCTATGATACATAATATAATAATGTTACATTTATATTACATTAATAATAAATTATTAAAGTTTTAATTAATAAGTACATAATAATACATCTCTAAGCGTTTATCTTAATTAAAAAGGAATTCGTATAAATTGCATGAGTAAAGTACATTTATAATTTAATTATTAAACATCTATAGGTATTTTACATACGCCCAGCATATAAATAAAGCATTAACACCAAACTCGAATCCTAAAAGACTGCTAGTAATGACATACATAATTATACAACTTATTAATCATAGCCTTGAAGAAAAATCACCATTCAAAACACTGAAGTTAAAACTAAATTAAAAGTAAATAATATTAGTAACATATAAGTGATTAAACCTTAATCATTTGTTCGGTGGAAAGTCAAGTGTAGTATATGCTGGTCTCGTTCGTGGTATTGCTGGCCGACGAGGCCTTGGATGTGTTTTTCCTCCTTCAGTGGCTGTAATAATTCCACCTTCTCCCTCTTCTGGCAAATACGGAGTTCGTGGGTTCAGAACCAGCGCTTTATATGACGAATGTGAATCAGCTATGCTTCTTCCATCTCCTTCATCTCTACGTGAAAGCTCGGAAAATGGAGATACAGATCTTTTTTCTAAGCCACTTGGACCTGGAGCTTCTTCTTTGGGTTTCAACTCGTAAGCGTTCTCTTCCTTACGCTTGGGCTCCACATCTTTTTTGAATTTTGCTTGACGCTCTATGATTTCTGCAGTAGTAAGATCCGATCCTTGAACATCAGTTTCCAAGGGTGGAGCTGAAAGCCAAGGTCTTGATGTGTTATTACTGCACCATCTTTCTTCATTTTCGCTTGTATCACCTAAAAGTCCTAGTTTCTCTAGATTTTGTAATAGTAGATTTTCACTTGAACTGGCAGCTCTCATTTCACTTTTCGATTCTTCTGCTAACAATAATTCTGCTAAAGGCGGGGCAAGACCTAAGCCAATATTTCTTTCATGATAAACCTCTGAAATTGTGGGAGTAAGTTCTCCACTCATGTGCCGAACTTGTGCCATGGAGTCTCTACTGCTTGTACCCATCTTTGGTCGAGCAACTCTTTTCGAAGTTGAAGGTTGGTTCACGGTTTGATCGGTTTTTTCTTCTTCAGTTCTTCTAGGTTGTGCAGATGCTAGATCATAGAAAGCGTCTAGATATCTAGTGTGGGAGTGCTCGGGGCGTCTTCGTAAGACAGTATCGTGCCCAGAGCTTTCCCAGTCTGAATCATCAGTTGAAGGAGGCCTCCTTGTGTAAAGTGTTCTGATTTTCGTTTGATGAGCTAACGCTAGCGATACATCTCTTTGTGGTGCAGTTGATGTTGATGGCGGGGCTGCGGGTGGTGATGGTGTAAAAGCTGCGTCACTCTCACCACGGTATCTTGGAGGCGGTGGTGCGGGTGGAGGGGCAGTTCTACCATCAGGTTCGCCACGGCCAACTTCAGTATTGGACGTAGATCCTCTTACATACATAGTGAAGGCTCCACCACAAGATCCCAAAGGTAGTGGAGGAGGTGGAACTGAAGAAACGCTCTCTTCTGGAATACAATAATTGAATTTATAAGGCTATAGGTTAATAGAAGTTATATGTACAAACCTGAAGGTGGAATGTAAAAACATCAATATGGACAAAAATCGGGGCTTTATTATCAATACTTTTAACATTATTAATACTTCTGAGGTAAAGAAACAACTTCAGACTACAACAATAAAAATTTTGCTTACGTCTATGTTCTCTTGGAGGAGGTTCACCATCAGAGTGAGGTTCTAAATCACCGTCGTCAATAGACGCCAGGGATTCCACACTTGAACTTGATTCTAAGCTAAGACTCCGAGGAGCTTCTTGCGTATCTGGAAAAATGATTTATGTAACATTCGGTACTATATCAAGATATTAACAAGTAAAGTTTGAAGTCACATTATATATGCTCACCAAAGAGGGCTAGCAAAGCTTGCAACACAAATTGTATATGTCGTCTGTTTGCCGTCTTTCCAGTACGCAGAGTTACTTCATCTTGCCCAACTTCTGCCAGATCGAATCCTAATGATGCCAGCAGTTCATGGCAACCGTTTACACGCCAAAGCCTGTATTTGAAAGTTTTTGTTTTCGTTTAAAAATAATTACTTACATTGTAATATAACTGTTTAACAAACAGACGATAATAGTGTAGGATATTAAAGAGTAATACAATTGAATGAAAAAAATATATAGAAAATGGTAAAGATAATTAATTATATATAATTAGCCTTAAAATAGTATGTATCTTATCGTGCAAAACAGTTAACATATTCATCAAAACTCTTTGAAAGACTGTAAAACAGTAAAAATTTTATTTATTAAAGGTACATACTTTTCATAAATATCATATAGTTTCGATATAACAAAAAGGAGAAAGAATGTTGTCATCTAAGCAAATAATACTCAAACATTAAAATACAAGTCACTAACCGGACGTTCACAGCTACTTCAATGGTGTCGCTTTCAGAGTTTTTGACAGAGAACTGCGATATGACAGATCGGATCACACCAATAATTTCATCAGCCACATCTCCGTTAGATATTAGTTTCGAAAGTGCTTGAAGTGTCGTCGGAGTTAATCCTAAAATAATATAAAAAATCTATCATTAAGTATCGTAAGATTCAGAAGAAGAAGTTTTCACGTCATTAAAATCAACTATGAAAAATGGTTTAGAACTTTTCATGAACTTAAAAATTGTAGACGGGCAACTGCGCGGGTACTTTGATTTTCAATCTTTAATTGTTATATGATTTTAATAGTGGCAGCCTCGTACCGGTAGGCGAAGTGTAGGGCGACCCCCCACGAGATGGACTGACGACCTGGTAAGGCATGCAGGAAGTTGATGGATGCAGGTGGCTTAGGACCGTGCTTTGTGGCATTCCTTGGGGGAGGCCTATGTTCAGCAGTGGAATTATGAAAGGCTGTAATGATGATGATGATGGTGATGAATAACGATTTATTAACAAATTACCAAGTAGAGCTTGTAGACTGGCTGAGCATTGGGTCAATCTTTCTTCAGGATCACTTTGAGGGAAAAACACGCTCGATGGGATGCCGTTTGCAGCTGGTTCAAATCTAAAAAAATAGTTTAAATTTAATGGCAAAGTTTTAGCTGTAAATTACCCAACAAATTAAGTAAGAATAAAACATAGAAGGTACCTGAAACCAACACTCATCAAAAGTTCCCGCCACCCGGTCGCAGTTCCAGCCTTGTTTTCGATGCTCTTTTGAGTCGTATACATGGCGTTTTTCTGTCCTCTCACGATTCTCTGTAGAGATTTCTCGACCAAGTGCAGGCATACTCGTAATGCATCCCTAAAACCAATAAGAATATTTTAACTACTAAAACAATTATTTACTTAAATTTCTATTTCATTATTACAAAATGTTATATCATTTAAAAAAAAACTTATTATAATCACTATTTAATGACCAATAAAATGCTTAGAGAAGATAGAATAGAATATTTTTTATTCAATATACATAGAATAGAATAGAATAGAATAGAATGATTTTTATTCAATATGGATTATTACATAATACTTATTGAAAGTCATTATTTTATTTACCACTGGTTCGGAAAATACCTCTGTCCTGGGAAGAACCAGCAGGAAACCCAGCGGGACTTTTTTTTAAACATAATTTCACTTAACAATAATTTTGTTTATACAATTTTAAATGAATTTTCATAGAACCAGCATGGTGGCGATCACCTTATTCCCAGGGGTTATTTTCATTCATGTATTCCTTGATATTATAATAACCCTTTTTGTACAGTTTTTCTTTAATAAAACTTTTAAACTTGCTTATTGACAAACTTTGAACATGTTCTGGGATTCTGTTGTAAAAGCGTATACATTGCCCCATAAATGAATTACTAATTCTGTGGAGTCTTGTAAGTGGCATTACAAGCCTATGTTTGTTCCTAGTGTTTAAGGTATGAACATTCTTATTCTTATTAAAGCTATTTATGTTTTTATGTACATACATTACATTTTCATAAATATATTGCGATGCCAAAGTTAATATGTTTATTTCTTTAAATTTTTCTCTAAGGGACTCTTTACAATTTAGATTATAAATCGCCCGTACGGCTCTCTTTTGCAAAACAAATATAGCTTCAATATCAGTCGCATTACCCTATAGCAAAATTCTATAAGACATTACGCTATGAAAGTAACTAAAATACACTAACCTAGCTATCTCAACATCTGTGAGACTTCTAATCTTTCTTACAGCATATGCTGCAGAACTAAGTCTGCTTGCTAATTTAGATATATGGGGGCCCCATTGAAGTTTCGCGTCAATAGTAATACCGAGAAAAACAGTGGTATCCACAAGACTCAACTCCTCCCCATTTAAGAGCACATTGGTTTTCGAATGTTTTACATTAGGTATTGTAAATTTAATACATTTTGTCTTATTGCCGTTTAAGAGCAAATTGTTGGCGTTAAAACAATGTACTAGTTTCGATAGAGCATTATGTACATCGTCATATTTAATTGACTGCCGTTTCAGTTTGAAAATTAAAGAGGTATCGTCAGCAAATAATACTATATCGTGATTGTCCCCTACAAGATAAGGTAAGTCATTAATATAGATTAAGAACAGGAATGGGCCAAGAATCGAGCCCTGAGGAACGCCCATTGATACTACTGATCCGGAGGAACATTTACCATTAATGACGACTTTTTGAGTTCTGTTACTTAAATATGAAGTAATAAGTTTAAGCGCCAAATTTTTTACACCGTAATGTTGTAGTTTCCTGATTAATGTTTCATGATGAACACAATCGAAAGCCTTGGAAAGGTCACAGAAAATTCCTAAGGCATCTTGTGAATTCTCCCAGGCATTAAAAATATATTTCATAAGCTCAACACCGGCGTCAGACGTCGAGCGACCCCTTGTAAAACCAAATTGATTTTTATGAAGTAATTTATTTGTATTAAAAAAAATTAACAATTGATCCAAAATTATTTTTTCAAAAATTTTACTGAGAGTTGGTAGTACAGAAATAGGTCTATAATTAGCGGGGTCCAATGTACTACCAGATTTAAATAAAGGTATTACTTTACTATACTTCATTAAATCAGGAAACACACCAGAATCGATACAAGTATTAAAAATAATAGCAAGATGAGGTGCAATTAAATCTATTATGGACGCAATCACTGTAACGGAAATCCCCCACAAATCTGCGGTTTTCTTTACATCAATGGTTTCGAAGTATTTTACAATATTATGCGGTAATACTTTTTCAAATCTAAATTCTTTTAAACAGGTATTAACATTCTGTTTAAGTAATGATTCGGCGACAGTTGGAGAAGCATTCAATGACTCTGTTGTCAAGATAGGAACATCAGTGAAATATTTCTCAAACACCGCTGCAACTTCTTGATTTGATTTAGTCAATTCATTATTAATTTTTAATTGATAGTTTGAATTACGAGGTTTCTCTTTAGCGGTTTCGCTGTTAATTATACTCCACGTCATTTTAATTTTATTCTTAGCTGTCTTAATTTTGTTACTAATATTTACATTACATGTGTAATTCTTATTGAAAGTCATTTTTTACTTTACCACTGGTTCGAAAAAAAAACCCTCTGTCCTGGGAATAACCAGCAAGAAACCCAGCGGGACTTTTTTTTTAAAATAAATTTTACAATATAAATGATTACGAACTATTTACAAAATTTATTTTAGAAACTGCTTGGAAGCGACCACCTCATTCCCAGGGGTTATTATCAACCATGTATTCATTTATACTATAATAACCCTTTTTATACAGTTTCGGTTTAATAAAACTTTTAAACTTGGTAATAGAGAGAACCTGTACACTTTCCTGGACTGGCATCACTAGCTTGTGTTTGTTCCTAGTGTTTACAGAATGTATATCACTTTTTGTACTAAAACTATCTTTGTTTTTGTGAACATACATTAAATTTTCGTAAATATACTGAGAGGCCAAAGTTAATATATTTATTTCTTTAAATTTATCTCTAAGAGACTCTCTCGGTTTTAGATTATAAATAGCTCTAATGGCCCTCTTCTGTAAAACAAAAATAGTTTCTGAATCAGCCGCATTTCCCCATAGCAAAATCCCATAAGACATTATGCTATGGAAATAACTAAAATAAACTAGCTGTCTCGACACTAGTGAGATCTCTAATCTTTTTTACAGCATAGGCTGCAGAACTTAGTCTGCTTGCTAATTTGGATATATGGGGGCCCCACTGAAGCTTTGCGTCAAGAGTGATGCCAAGAAAAACAGTGGATACAACAGGATTCAATTCCTCCCCATTTTAAAACACATTGGTATTCAGATTTTTAACATTCGTTGTTGTAAATTTAACACAATTGGTTTTATTTCCGATAAAGTAGAAATAGAATTAAGGTTAAAAACAAAAATGAATATTTTGACGGTAAAAATCTCGATAAGATGCAGTTTTAAGAGACTGTTCTTTTCTGTTTTTGTTAATTATACAAGACAGATAAAAAATGAAGTAGAAATAATTCAAATGTATGTTAATGACACGAATAATGCAGCATGAGACATCGAGTCATGTTACAACACAAAGCAAGAGAGCAAATAAAACGTTCTAGTATCATATTTATTCCATGAAATAACTTTATTAACAATAGCTTCGATCTATTTTGTGTAAAAACCAGTTTTAAAAATTAATAAAAAAAAAGGGAAATATCTTATAAAATTACCGGCACTTATCAGGCGCGGCGAGAAGCTCACAAAGCGCCTGACCCATAAGCGCGACCTTGTTGCTCAGACGCACGTTGGCGCCCAGCAGCGCGAGTCCCGCCCAGTGCGCCGGGTGTGCGAAGTGCTTCGTGTGTCGCACAGTCTGCATCGCGTCGCCCAGAGCTCTGCCGAACAAATGGGAAGTAAATGTATATTGAGTAGAGCGCGCGGTATAGGATCTTGGTGGCGGTGTCCAGCGGCGCGGGTCACAGCGCTCAGTTACGATTACAATTTAACAAGTAAACACTAACTTAGCGACGCGGCTTCCTTGCAGCAGCGCGGAGTAGAGCGCGCGATACAGGATCTTGGTGGCGGTGTCCTGTGGCGCCGGCCACAACGCGAGCAGCACGGCGTGCGCGCCGGCCGCCAGCAGCGCGCGGCACAGGCGCGACACGCCGCCACTCGCCGCCGTCACGCCCGCTCCCTCGCCCTCTGCTTGCTCGTACAGAGCCCCGCTTGATGGAGCGCACGATATCACCACCTGTGTTTAGAATGGAACGCCCGTTTATTAGTCATACATTTTTGAGTCGGATATAGTAAGGTTTTACTAAATGGTAAAACCCTTTTTCTGTCTAGGAGTCTGGGTAGGTACCACTGTTCGCGCCTAACGCTAGTTTAAAGATTTGACGCCAGAGGGTGCTCGGCGCGGTGCATTCGTACCGGTTTGACGTTCAGGCGAGCGGAGTTGGTTTGGCGCGTGGCGCGGCGGAAGTCGAACAACGCAGTGCGGTCACTAGCACGACGTCTATTTAGTGTCGGTTTTGTTAACAAATTTATGGAACGACGAGGATTTTGTTGAGTCTAGAAAAATAGACGCCGGCTTGATTAATTATTTGGAATTTAATATTGATTGCGACCAACGTCCGGGTTTTTGATGCGTGTGGAATTTACTATTGGAGTTTTCGCTTCTAAATTGGTTATCTTAGTGCATTCACGCGATGACGAAGTAGTAATAATTTGATTGATTAACCTAAATTCGTTGGCAAGTAATTTACGTAAATTGTATAGTGATTGCCGGTTGAAGTGCTTGACAATAATACTTTGCGTCGAGTAGTTGCTTTGTGGCATTGGATGTAACTCAGCGATATTTTGCTGTGTCGGTTAAAACGCTGAAATTTGTGACACGCGAGAAACAGTGTTCGTATTAGATTATAGATTTGTGCTAAGGAACTCTGAACGTTGTGACTCGAGAAGGAATCGCGTTTTTGCTCTTGGTTATAATCTTGTTGCCACGTGAAACGGAAGTGATCTTTGATCCGCCCGTTCGTTATTCGTGCCGTGTGTTACGTTTTTGATTACGATTAACGGGGATTTAGTTGAGTTTAAAGTTAATTAAATGTACAATAAAGTTGATGGATTGAAATAGTGTACAATAAAGTTGATAAACTGTAATAGTGAAGTGACGTCGGACTTGAGGTCGGATGGCGTAAGCTGCCGCCTTTGGAGAGAGGCAACGCTGGATCTGACGGTTGGGCCTGGTCAAACATTATACACACTACTATACACCACTCACACGCACCTACACTTACCTACGGCCTCACCGAGCCTTGGGGGGGTCTTAGCTCCAGAACCAGGTACGTACTATTTATTTACCTAGCCTTATCTCTATTGTGTAGGTCAATAGTCCATAGGCCGTTGGGCTCCGTCCTGCTGCCCGTCGATAGGACTACTGATGGGCCCTAGTCCAGTCTACCTTTGTTGGGGCCGCTAGGGGCGTGTACAACCACCTTCTTATCTATTTTGCCACCAAGCAGCGGTGCTTGCATTACTGTGTTTCTCTCTAAAGGGTATAGAGAGCCAGTATGATTACGGGTTCTGAGACATTCCATCTTAGTCCTAACTTCAGGTGGAGTGTACGTTCATTTGTTACTTAAGTCTTATATAAAAAAAATGATAGAAATATAATTCACCCCATTTCCTCACGTTGGTGTCCAAACGACTCTGTAAAATGTCAGAAATTTTAAAATAACGGCGTTATGGATAGTGAGTAGATAACTTTCATGTTCACATGTCAGATGTGTCGGAGGTGAAATATCGTCGATCGAAGTAATTATTAAAGTTAATCACCAATCTTAACGTGGTAGAGCCAAGCTGCAGCTATATTTATAATATAGTTGTAGCACGAATGGGTCCGCTCGACCGGGGTAGGACCACGCTTTCACAGAATACCAGCGTAAAATAGCAGCTTAATGATGCTGTGTTTCTTATGGTGAGTGTAAAGAATCGCTAACCCTTTTTACTGGAAAAGAGGCATTCCATTTTAGTCCTCACGGGTGACAACGCATCTGCATTTTGATTTGTAAACGAGGATGATAGGATAGGTAGATGTCTATGGGTCACAGCAGCCACTTACCATGAGGTGGACTGTGTGCTTGTTTGTCTGCTTTCCAAGCGTAGCTCTTAATGTATATTTGCAAATATGCATGAGACAGAAATATTAACTTACCAGTCGGGCTGTTATTTTCATATTCATAATTTCTGAAGCAGTCAGCATAAACTCTGAAGTCGGAGGTAGTTCTTCGTTACTTTGCGGTAGTTCAGAGTCTGCAAAAAGTTTTTCTCAATATTAATCAAAGAAACTGTTTTTTAAAAACGTTATTGGATAAAGATAAAAACGAAATTGATTACAAATAATATACTATTTAAAAAATTTAATGTACATACTTTCTTCCTCATTTTCGGTTGAGGTGTCAGCAGCGCCGCTGCCTACGCTTGTATTCAGAAGACGTTTCGCCTGTGAATCAACCTGTAAAAACGAAATATATAATTATTTATAGAATATAAAGTACTTATATTAATTTATTATAAAATGCCTTAGTGTAAAGCGTTCTGCAGAGCGTGAAGCGTGACGGCGTGTTTCCCATACAACTTGAACAAGGCACGCCACACGCTCCACCGAATACTCACAAATGATTTATTTATTATTAATTGTACCCAGTGGCGTAGCGTGCCTTAGATAGGCCCTGTATCAAAATTTGTTGGGGGGCTCCAATGAAGAGTAAAGATTTCATAAAAGGAACAAAACTGGTTGCATTGATATAAAATTATTATATATTGGTTATAAGTTATTACTTACAATGTTAATTGTAAGTAAGTATTAACTCCTAGGAACTAAGCTAGCCAAACAATTCAAATCAAATATACACTTTTCTTGCCTTTTGTTCGGCGAACATAGCTGAACACGATTCAGTGGCATTCATAGCTCAAGACGATTTCAGTTTTTCTAAATTCTTTGCTTCTATAAACAGTAGTTATAGCCTTTTCTGTCCCATAAAAGTCCTTGGAATTTTGGTTTATACAGGTTCGTATCATTGATACGGCTGATACGGCGGTAGCTACGCCCCTGATTGTACCCTTAGGTTAGAAGGAATTTTATACTTATGAATTAGATGGCGTCCAGTGGTAGTGGTTTGAAATAATTCCACTATAGCTTATAAGTTTGAAATAGTAATAAACTTCAGGGTACTAATGAAAATACTTACAACCTCGCCTGGACTGAGGACGATGCCCGGTGTTTTCCAGCAAACATGAGTGGCGAAGTGCACGCATTCCGCTTGAGGCAATTGTGCCAGAACCGCTTCCTTTGATGCCTGCACGATAAAAAATTAATGAGGTTATTATTAATGCTTATTGTTTTTAGTCGACAGTTAGATTTGTTAGACTTATAACATTTTACTTGAAAGTTAGTAGAACTTTTTAAACGTGCGATTGTTGTCTCTTCATCATCATCATCATTTTATATTATTCTAAGCCAGCGCTTAACTACATTCTCACTTAGATGGTGAAGCGGTGACTTAACAAAATCCTATTCACTCTTGCCTTGAAGACACCAACATTGTAATCGGATGGAAACACAGATGCTGGGAACTTATTCCACTCCTTTGATGTACATCATCATTACAGCCCTTCACAAGTCCACTTCTGCACATAGGGCTCACTCAAGGAATGCCACAAAGCACGGTCATGAGCAACCTGCGTCCATCGACTTCCTGCATGTTGTCTTACCAAGTCGTTACTCAATCTAGTGGGGGGCCGCCCCAAACTTCGCCTACCGGCACGAGGCTGTCTCTCGGGAAACTTGCTTCTCCATCGGTTGTCGTTTCTTCGAGTTATATGGCCGGCCCATTGCCACTTCAGCTTATTGTCAGTTGAGCTGTCGGTTACTCTGGTTCTACTGCAAATAACCTCATTTTATCACGCAGAGAAACCCCAAACATAGCCCTGTCCATTGCCCGCATTGTTGTCTCTTGGTAGGATTTAATTGTATGGTTGATGGAAAATGTTTCCACAAACATTTTTAAAATTGTATTTCAATTCTATACATATACATAGTTTTGAGTTGACTGAAAAGCCTGTCTTTTTAATAAGACAAAATTAAAAACATATATTTGTCGACAATTGTTGATAAAATGACATTACTTATTGAATTATAAGTACATTTATTCCTACTAATATTATAAATGCGAAAGAGTGTTCGTTGGTTTGTCTTTATTTCAAGCAGAAACGGGGCAACGGATCGATATGGTCTTTTTTGCTTAGATATAATGTAAGGGCCAGAGAGTGACATAGGTTACTTTTAAGCCATAAAAATGCACTGTTCATATGGGATAGATCTGGAGAGTAACTCAGTAATTAACTTTTTATGCTGTCTTAGGTCGTGGCATAACACATTAGATGTGATTTTTCGAAAGGATGTCGTTTTCCGACCTCCAAAGCCGGCAAAGCCGCATGCAAATCTGGTACTATATAAGTAAGAGTCCCAATAAACTCACTTGATAGTCTGTGAGCGGTGTGACACGTAGCATATCAGCAACAAGCTCTGCTTCCTTGAGCTGCGCGTGCGCACTGGCCCAGCGTGTGCCGCCCACACGTGGACCGCCCACAACCAAGCAACGCATGCCTGTTTCCGCTGCATTGGCTGATGATGAACCTGACGCATAATACTTTGATATAGCTAAAGATAGAGAGGGTCTTATGTCTATGTATATAACAATAGTACTGTTACAGCCTCTCAAAAGTCCATTGCAAAACATAGGATTAATAGATAAGCTCATAGGGAGGTTATTTGCCACAGTAGATACGCTTGGCAGGCAGGTTGGGAATCGCCGGTTTTTTTTAATTTTTAATTGTTACTATGGAGACTCTGCTGCTAATATTTTGATTTGTTTCTCCCTGTCACCTCTTAGAACACTCACAGGGCGAAATGGAATAGTCGATATTCTTACACTACCACTACACGGTCGCTTTTATTTGCTAACATTAGTAGCAGTTATTATATGCGCATGATATTTTAATTCTAATTGAACTATTGAGTAACGCAACAGATCACATGCGTGCCATCGCTGGTACAAGCTTTTACTACTGAAAGACTTTTGGGGCAGGGAAGATTCTGCATGCCCCAATGCGAATTGCCGGGCTTCGTTGTGACTAAAATCGGTTTGGAAGACATTCAGAATCACTTACCGTGTTCGCGGTCGACACGCGCTCGCGTGTGGCGTGGGTGTCGCAGAGGACGCAACGCAGGCGCAGCCATAAGGGCGTACCGCTCGCACAGCGGCTCCGCATCTGCGTTGGCTCGCAGTGCACCCCACGGGCACGCATACAGCGCACCCTCCACTCCCACTACAAGCTCGCGCCGCCCACCGCAACCGCGACGACCGTGAGACGCTGCAACGTACCAAACGGTTTACATACATACGTCTATATACAATATTTTTGTACATTAGCAATGGTTGATGTAATGTAGTAAACATACATATTATGCAAATAATAATAAATTAGACTTTACTCAACTCAAAATTCACCAAAACAAATAAAATAAATTTAACATGGAAGTATTTAGATGGATTAAGTATAATTTTGTTGTTAAAACACCAGTCACGAACTAAGTGCTATATTTGTAACAAAGTAGGTAATGTCATTCTTAGATTTAGTTTATACATAAATTTTAAAGTCGTCAGAAATGTACCGAAACTAGAATCTATCTTGGAACAAAAGTTGATAAATATTAAGATAAACAAGGGTTTGAGGTATGATCCTTGGGCTACTTTGAGTACACCAATATAGTAATAGAACTAAAAAATAATGTTGGATTTTAAATAGATTGCTTATATATTTAAAGTGCATTGGTTATCATAGACTTCACGCTAGTTCAGTAATTTCAAAGTTAAGTAAGATATAAAATGCAAACCATGATTATTATTGCAGGAAGCAGGCAGCAGGTCTTCGAAGGGCGCAATGAGCATTTGGTAGAGCATGCTAAGACATGGTGGTCCTTGCCACGCTGGTTGCTTCTTACGGGGACCGTGTGCACTCGACCTAAAAGTAAACTGCATTGTTAGTTTACTTTAAATAATAAATTTGTGGGTTCGAATCCGCACATTTGACTAATAAACTCATAAAATTCGAATTACTAAGGAGAATATTAGTAATATTACTGACATTACTAGTGCGACATTAACCGCTTCGTTTTTTTTTTTCACTGAAAACTCTGCGTTTTCCTTTTCTTCTTTATCAGGCCATGGAATTCCACTGATGGATAGGAGCCGCCCCATTACAGGGAAAATTGTTTTAATCATCAACCTTGGCAGGTGGGGTAATGTTTGCAATACCTACTAAACAATCCGAATCTCTAACGCTACTCTCCGTCGCTGGTCTGGATATTTTACGTCTGGCGCAAACGCAACAGTTAAACCGTTATATATCAAAAGTCACAGTATACGATACCCATGTGACGAAATAGTATAATGGATTCTCCTAAAACCAAGCCTCCACACGGTAGAAAATCCATCACGTAATTTTGTTAAATAACCATTAAACTATAAAAGCTTTTAGAAACTATCCCCGTCACCACTAATCCCAGCACCGCTACTCCCAACAGTGGTGACGGGGATAGTGCAAGCAATTGAGGGAGGGCGGGAGGTGCTCTTGGTAAGACACAACATTTTAATTTATAACGCGGATATTTGCGAAGTAAATTTTTCTAAAAGCTTTTATATAATGGATTTCCGCAAAGTAACGCCTGATTCTCTTCTACCTAGTAATAAGATTCGATTCTATTAACCATTAAACTGTAAAAATTGACGTTTGTTTGTGAACTTTTTGTCCGATCTAGCCACTAAAAACTTATAGTATCTTGAAGTGTTGCAAGTATTCCAAGCATATGATTTAATTTAATTAATTATAGGATCCCAAGCAGATGGTATTGGCACATGACTCATCCATCACATGTTTCTTGAGCGCTTTTGTTTGTGTTTTTGAAAAATGTGGGTCTTTGCACTTACCTTGTAGATCCCTGTAAACTGGCGACCGAGCCAGCTACAGAACCGCCGACCGAACCCACGCTGAACAGCGAGCTGAGTGAATAATTAGAAGAGTTCAGAAGATGGTTGCGTGACACCTGAAAAAAATTGAGAGTTTTCGCTTACAATAAAAGTTTTAATCAAAAAAGGCTCTAGATCTAAAATTCGGAATTTCTTATATTCGAGTTTAGATTTGATAGAAAAATCGGGAAATATTTTATTTAATTAATACATCTATCAAATAAAAACATACATGTTTAAAATATTTTAAAATGTGTATTTTTTTGTTGAAAAACGCCGAAAATGCTGTATCCTATAAAAAAAAGAATTGATTCGAAATTAATTTCATAAATTTAGTCTTGAGCCAAAATTATTAGGATTAAAATTTTTGCTCACTCAACTTTACACAATTTGACAATAAGTCTCTTTCAAAATACAAAATGATCCTGTTACTTTATAATTAAAAAATAAAAACAATTTGATTTACGTCTTTACCATTCTAGCGAGTGCTGCATTGGGCCTTTCATCGGGATCCCATTGGTCCTCTTCGTTCCTTCGTTCGGCGGTTTTTAACCACACCGACCACTCGCTAATATAACGCTCAAGTTTGCCCAACGAACCTTAGAAAATAACATTATTTTAAAATAATTTACCATGTGTTAAAACGTTTTGTGTGGAGAAGTTATGTGTGTATGTTTTTTTTTTATAGGAGAGGGGGCAAACGAGCATGCGGCTCACCTGATGGTAAGTGAATACCGCCGCCCATGTACAACTGCAACACCAGGGGAATCGCAGATGCGTTGCCAGCCTTTATCAATGACCTCTACCTGTGTCTCAATGTCCATTTTATTTCTCCTACCTTAACGGCAACTCAGACACATGTTTTTTTTTGCACTTCTATGACACAGTACATTTCAAATAATGTAAGTTTTCCACCTTTTTTAAAGAATAAGGGTGACAAACGACCATACAGTCCACCTGATGGTAAGTGGCTGCTGCGGTCCATAGATATCTACATTTATCTTTAACTAAGAATCAAAATGCAGATGCGTTGTCACCCCTGAGGACTAAGATGGAATGCATCGTTTTCAGTAAAAGTTCACTTACCATCAGTCTCCGGTTCTCTACATTAACCATACGAAACACAGCAACATTCAACTGCTACTTTACGCTGGTATTCTGGTGTTAGCGTGGTCCTTCCCCGGTCGAGCCGACCCATTCGTGCTACTACCATAATATAGCCGCAGCGTGGCTCTACCACGTATAATAAATTTTTATAACAAATACTAAGAAAATCGTGATATATTTCTATGTTCACGTATATAAAGACGACTTTAAACGGGCCGTGGTTCCGATTTCCACCCTGAGCGTGCAAAAGAAATTGGTGTTTTTTTTAATTAGAATTAAAATCATTTATTAGTATTTGTAGTATTTTATGTATCTATTCATCCCGCAGTTAGTGTAAGTAGTAGTACTGCTGCATCGCAAATAGGTTTGTTTGTCGGTCCTCGCTCGCACTGAATACCGAAATACACAGTAAGTGACGAGAAATAGAGAACCGTTTAACTGTAATTGTGTTCATAAGTGACAAGTATTTGCATTTTAATCGAGGATAGTTGTAGGTGTCTGTGCATATCTATTTGTCAAGCGTGGGGAACACGGTGGGATCAACTACCTCCTTATACGATACATTTATGATAATATAATAATAATAGAAAGTGGTAGAAAGTGTAAGATAATTATATTATTTTAATTTCATATATACTACATACTGAATAAAAGTCACTTTATGTAATAACACGAATTTTATGGTAGGTTCTTTGTCTATATAAAATCTTACCTGCACTTGCTTGTAGATCATCAGGACTAATATCCGGTAGACTATTATCACTGTCCTCATTCTGATCATGAAGGGACACTTGGTGGAATCGCAGTATACCTTAAATAAAAAGTAAAACTAATTATATCTTGTTACAGCTTATGCGAATTAAAAATATTTCAAAAGGTCACCTCAAATAAATACAATGACAAAATAAAAAATAGTTACGAAACGTATGAAATAATTTGTAAGCCATCAAAACATAACATGTAAAAAAAAACCAAGTCACGCAACTCAGTTCTTCTACCGTAAAAAGTTGTGAGTTCCATGAAATACCAAGTCAGTTAATTTATTCAGCCCCTACTTAAGGATCCTTCTGTCTTAAGTTATTACGTAATTAGCTAGCCTAACAACATCTTATAATGACCATATCAATATTAAAAATCTTTTATATTTTAAATAAATAGATTGACTTGGTCATCGCATGAAAATACAATTTATCTCTCATGTAATACAAATAGATTGTTTCGAAAAGGTACTACGTAACTTAACTTGGTAACTTCGAGTTTAAAGTTTAAACTTGTCACGCGTGTTTGGTATTGTGGTTATGTTTGTGGATATATTTCGTGTTTTTATTTTCATGAATTAATTTAACTTGACCCTTGGCTTTTCTCTCGATTTACAGGACAGTGGGTTGCTGCGCCCAGATAATGACAGTAATGTGTAACTTGGGTTCTGAGAGTAATAGAACAGACAATGTACAGCCTCAGGCTAGTTTTCTAGATGAAAATTTTAATATTAATTGCAGAAAATAATTAACCAATTAGAAAAGTTTGAGTTGTATTTTATTTTATTTAATAATAACTGAAAAACGGCATCCTTTTGTGTTCTTTTCAATTTATTGAAACAACATATCCCAAGAACGAGTACTACATAACCTACCAATAGTAAAACAAAATAAAAAGAAAACCAGGCCTTATAAAAATATGATTTTTTGTCTTAAGTAACATATGTTTAAATCTTGAAAATAAGATATATTTTAACTTTGTTCACGCCGGGCCCAAGCTTGTATGGAACGAAGTTCATCTCCTTTAAAGCTTCTATGTCTGCTAGAAGTGCCTTAGAGTTTTGATGATCGGTCAGTGAGTGAGTGACAAAATTGAGAAACTTTGACTAGTTATAATTCTTAAACTACTGGTTCAAATTGAATGATATTTGAAACATACCGAGTTTATACATTGCCTACTTGGTTACTGAAAATTCAGGTTTAGTTTTATCCACAATGAAGTTATAGGAGTTCGAAAATGGCGTGAACTGCTTCGAGAAATTGATGGTACGGCCGTGCCGCTGTTTTGCTCGACTTTGCGGGAGCACTCTTGTGCCCTCAGATAAATGAAAATTTCGTAAACCATATTAATGTTATGGGATAGACTTTGCGTTAAATATGTAGGTAACCAAATCCAATGTCAATTCAAAAGTTTTTCTTTTTGATCAATAGCTAATCAGAATCGTGTGAACCGATTTGGGTGTTGTTTCTTATTTAAAAGCAGATTTTCTAGCGGTGGTTCTTAGACTCGTTTTATTAAAATCGATTCAGCCGTTTGGAGATCATCAGCTCTTTTTGTTTCGGGGTTTTTTTTAATTTTAAATTTGAGTTATAAACATTCAAAGGACACTTACCCTTATGCGGCTGCAGTAGCCAAGCGTATAATTTCCCTGCCGCCAAGCTGTAGTACAGTACGGGTGCTTTCTGTTTGTTAACAACTTCTAGAATTTGCTCCACATTAGAGGGACTCCACAATTCTGCTCTTTCTTTATTACCATCTTCAGTGAGATTTCTGTTCAATGATTTAAAGGATTGCTCAATTCACTTTGCTTTATTGGTACTTATTCATCAACAAATATTTATAAAAATGTTTTTACAATATATCCGCAAAATAAATACAACTTATTAAATACCTTTGTGCTGTGTGAAGTTCCAGATTAGCCTGATTCAAAGTACCAGGCTGCTTGTCCGTCATTATGTCTAGGGAACGGCATCGACCGCGCTCCGCTACCACCAAGGCCTCGGGATGACGACCCAGTTCTTAAAAAAATAAATATTTGGGATTATACGAATTCATAACCTTCTATGTCTGTCTCAACCACTTTCAGCCCATCTGTATATTTATGTTCTAAACATCGTAATACGAACCAACTAGTACTCGCTGCAGAGCGTGTTGTGTGGATGTGTAGAGCGCTGCGATCTTTCTGTCGCGTTGTTTATCTTGTCCAGACTCCAGCACGGTGAGAGCTGCTTGTAGCTGTTCTTTGGCTTCCTCCAATTCTCCAGAAGCCCAAAGAGCGAAACCGAGGCGATGACGGACTTTCGCCTATTGAAGTTAATTGTGAGATTTATTTTTATCATATCATTTTAGCATCTAAATATATATCCACTAATAATCACAAAGTTTCACCTCTTCATCAGCATCGGACAGTCCTTCCGTAGCTGCTAATGCTTGTCTCAGATAAGACACCGCACTGCCACAGGCACCCATTGCCAAATGGGATCTTCCTAAGTCCGCTAAAGCGTTGGCGCGACCTCTGGTGTCTCCTGTTATTTGTACAAATATGTTCGATTAAAAATTTGAAATCAATACCTATTGGTAGAATAGCTTCCGATAGATGAAACTATAATAATTATACGTTGTAGCACGAATGATACGGCTCGACCGGGAAAGGAACACGCTCTCACAGAATACTAGCGTAAAATAACAGCTTAATGCTGCCGTGTATCGTAAGGTGAGTGTAGAGAACCGGAGACCCTTTTTTACTGGAAATCAGGCATTCTATCCTAGTCCACGTAACGCATCTGCATTCGGATTCTTAATAGAAGTTAAATGTAGATGTCTATGGGCCACATCATCCACTTACCATCAGGTGGACTGTGTGCTCGTTTGTCACACTCATTCTATAATAAAAAAATATAGTTAACGCCCGATATAAAATACTCAGAGAGACAACGGATAGCATTGCTAAATGTGCGATAAGTCTAGTAGTACTGCGGTTGTCAATCAGCCTTCCAAGATTTTGGCAAATCCACCCAACAAAGAGAAATGACTATGTCCTGCAGTGGACTTTTACAGGTTGAGGAGAAAGAAAAAAAAAACAAGGGTAAATTAAATATAGGCTCGTACTCACCACGCCGTAATAATAATTAAGTGAAAGCAGAGCCGATAGCCTCACTCTGGCAATGGTGCTCCCTATCACATGTTAAGTTTGAGGTTCTGCGTTGAATAGTTGGATTTCCACTACCGATTGATCGACATTCGTATCCACTCTAATCACTCTTTTATTTTTAAAAGTAAAGATGATAAACGTGCGTACAAGCCAGCTGATAATAGGTGAATTCTGTGGCCTAAAGACTGTCTTAAAGATTATCTATCCTCGCTCAAAACTCTAAATGGTAGTAGATGCGTTGTCACCTCTGAGGACTAAAATGGAATGCCACGTAACAAGTTATAAGGGCCTCCCGTTCTTGTCATTCACCATGCTAAATACAGGAACATTAAGCTGTTATTGTACGATGGTGTTTTGTTCAAGCGTGGTTCATCGTATCATAATATGACTTTTCCACATTAAAGGTTCAAATCAAGATCAATCGAGGCCATCAAAAACTATGAAAGTTTTTAAAGTCAAGAGTGAATAGGAATTTTTAAGGTTAACTTGTTTACCATCTAGCACACTATCAATACTTAGCATCTGGAGAGGTCTCGATCAAACGTAAGCCTTTTTATTAATTTTGAAGCGTCAGTATCCTAATGGCAGGGCGCGGACCGCGAACTCGAGAGGTCGTGGGTTTGAATCCGCCATTCGACTACTGTCGTGAACCACTTCTAACATAAGCATTTTAAGCTTAACAGAAGCGGTTAAAGAGAATATTAGTAATGTTCAATAGCATTACTAGTATTTAAAAAAAAGAAGTATACCAAAATGCCATATGTTTGCATTTATTCCAAAAATCGTTACAGAAATGTTATATTCCAGCTTACTTTCAATTCTTAGGTAGACTCATAATATTCGATATCTCGGTTAGTCAATTTTTAGATAACTGGATCTAAATCTCCCTAAAGGACACTTTTTATCGCCTGGTGTGAAATGTTTAATATTTGTTAGTAAGTGTTACGAGTGCGGTGAAACCGACCACATTAATCGTTGCTTGATCTCTTTAGCTCTATTGTATTAACCGCCGAGACGTCTGTCTATTCGTAATCTATATCCTCTAAGGGAAACTAACCAGCTGCGGTTGCGTGTCTCAATCTAGACTCGTGCCAGCGCGCTGCCTCGGCGTGCGCGCCCATCGACGCATGCGCCGTGCCCAGCCCGCCACAAGCGCGTGCCTGCAATTCCAACAACTCTAAATGAATTCTATTAAAATGAATAAATTACAAACAGTTGATAGAACGAGTGCGAATCTTTTATTACTTGTACGCGGATTAATTCTCAGTTTATCCTAGTAATAGGCCCACTCTGTTAAACTTTTACAAGTACACTTATGGTAACTAAAGTTATAATTAATAAAATTGGATCAAGTAATACTTAAAAGCGGCAGCAATCTAAAGATAAAGGTTGTGACCGCGATATTTAAGGGGCGTGGTCATTATTCGGCTACTATCGCGAACGCCTCCTAGCACAGCAGTTTTAACTAAGTAGGAGTGGAAAACGATTGTATCAGTACTGATTATAGAATGGCTAGTTTAAAAAAAAATTATCAATTATATTTATAAGCAATGTAGAGGCGTCGTAAGAGAATCATCCCGTGGGTGTCGTGACGAAAAATGAGTAACAGAAGTTTTATGTTAAGAGCTCAAAATAATTTTAAAAAAATGCAGTTGCTAACCTGCCTACTAAGACTAAGACTACAATGAATGAATGGTAAGAGATGCAGGAAGTCGATTGATGCAGGTGGCTTAGGACTATGCTTTGTTTGATTTCTTGGGGGAGGCCTATGTTAAGCAGTGGATTGCGAAGGGCTGTAATGATAAGATGAGAAAGAATAAGGACGTCATATAGAACTGCGCTCATGGCATCATTTAATTTAAATCTTCTACTCATATTAGTACTAATAATAATAATGTCCTCCAGACCGAATTTCGGTCACGGTGGCCAGCCTCAACGGAGACTAGCCATCGGTTCAGGACAGGATTATAGTGCCCAAGTGTATGCGCAAGTGCAGGTGCACTCTCTATTCCCTTACTCTCATAGTCCGATGGGACGGTAAGCTGACAAGACCGGAGAGAGATCAAGTGCAGGAGAAACGGCTTTACGTGCTTTCCGAGGCACGGCGGCGAAACTCCGCCAACTTCCTAACTCCGGGCAGCAACTGAAAATTTCTTGACGGAAAAGCTCAATAACTGATTTTTTTAGCCCGACCCGGGATTCGAAGGCGAGACCTCACGATCAGCAGTCGCGTTTACAAGCACTTGACCAACGAGGCAGTCATTAGTATATTAGTACTAAAGCTGATGCGAACGAGGGGCACCCGTATGTTACTTGGGTGAGTAGTGACCTGCAGATGCGTGAGGCCGAGGCGGTGCGCGAGCTCGAGCTCGGCGCGGTGGTGGCGCACGGCGGCCGCGTGCTCGCCCAGCGCCTGCTGCGCCACGCCCAGCGAGTGCCACGCCTCCGCCTCCATTATTTGGTTATTCAGCTCCCTACAACAATCATGAGTATGAGTAAGGTACGTCGAAACAGGTGACATTGAACTGAACCGACCTAAGCCACTAAGCTTTCAGGATCGTTAGAAATATTGTTTAATAAAAATTTAGAAACGACTTGATAAACTAAAAAGTGCTTAAGCATAGTGGTATCATCAAAGAATTTAAGCCATGGTTTTAGAGGCTATTATGTAGATATTTTTTTTGTTTTGAAGTCGAAGAAGTTGGTTTGAAGTTATTATTTTTTTATTAAAAGTTTAATTTTTTATCCGTTTCATTGAAAGAAAGAAAAATATAACAAACTCAAGGTCAACCACTTGAATGTCGCCTAAATGGTTACATTAAAAATTTCATTCACTGTTTAAAGTGAAATTCTTTCTTGAAATTTATGTGAGAGTAACTAAAGTACCACCTGATTTTTTTTTTTTAAATTTAAGTAGGTTTATATGTTTCTAAAAAATCGGTGAACATATATAAAAAGACGTCAAATATAGAACTTCCTCGTCTTTTGAAAGGTTAATAAATATTAATATTAGCGATCGCCAAACGAAAAAGTTATTTAATAAAAGTAAGCATCTTTGATTTAAGTTGTTAAATTATTCAATATTTAAATCGTTAACAAACCAGCAGATGGGCAGACATTAATAACAACTAGAAATAAAAAAAAAAACTGCAGTAGCCAAACCGCTTGCCAAACGTAGCAACTACGACAAATATTCCTTTTAAGGCGATCTATAGGGAAGTCTATGTTCAACAGTGGACTTTTGGTAAACTGTAATGAATTAAAAAAATCTATTTACTACTCACTTAGCAATATTTTTCTGATGCTCCAGACAAGATACGGCTTGCTCTAAATTGTTGAGCGCGATGTGCAGTGCACCGAGTTCTCCGTACGCCTGTGCTTTCGCTTCAGGTATGCCTAACTCATGGGACACCACTAGGCGCTTTTCGAGACATACTAAAGCTTGTTGAAGATTTCCGACTGATCTGCATGATAATAACAACATGTTTAGTAGATTGAATATAGTATATGTCAATATTTTAAAAAGGAATTTAAAAATATAAAATATAATATTTTTATTATTGTGAAGGACTGGCCTTTGCATTCTTTTGTAATAGGGAACGCAATAAAAATTAACAAATAAATAAATGATTTCAACGTACTTGTGACTAAGTCCTAGTCCACGATAAGCTCTCTCCTGTTCTCTGGCGTTGTCTAGCTTGAGCGCAGCTGCTAAGTGTTGTTCGTGGTACTTGATGGCCTCGTCAGGGTCGCCAAGTGCATCGTAGCAATCACCGAGAGAACCCAAAGCACGCGCTTTGTCTAATTGACATGTTGGTGTGTTCACTCGCTCGAGTATTGCCAGTTGCTGTAAAAACACATTATTTATGTCACTGATTATTTATATTACTTAAAAACCTACGGTAGATATATCAGAGAATAATTATATTTGATACTCTTTTATGAAGGTTTTAAATAAAAAAATCATATTTTTATAATACTTACACATATTTTGTAATTACGTAATTTCAGCAGGCTGTCCAGTGAAATAATGAAATAATTTGATTTATATTTGCTATAGAACTATTTCTAAAAACTTTTATATGTACTTTTAATATATTGTATATGTGTGTATGTGTTATTTTTAATTGGATATGGATATAGATATTTTAATGTATTTTTTCATGGTCATGAACAATTGCAATTAATTTAACTAACCTGTTCTAAATATCCTATTGCATCTTCATAATGTCCCATGTTTAGTTTCGCAATGCCCAGATTGCCATAAGCCTGCGCTTCCAGAGCACAGTCTTGAAGCTCTTGAGCTCTCTCCAGTTGCTCCTAATCCAAAAATAAACAAAATATTTCAAAATATGGGATAGGCCTCCATCAATTGTTCGAGAAGTATTTTAAACGCCTTGAAAGCTGTATCTTTTTGAGTTTTGTAATATTTCATATAAATAATAATAATGATGGCTAATGATATTCCGCTCACCAGATGTCGCTAGTTGACACTGAGGTAAGTTTTTGTTACACAATGTCATTTCATTGAGAAGTTAATTTTAAATAAAAGTTTACCAGTGTTTGATACACAAAACAATACCTCTTTAATTTTTTGCACATTTTAACTCTTGTTTTAATTTTTCTACTTTTATGAATATAGGTTTTGTTTATTTATTTTAATCTAATTAAGTATTAAAAGAAACATTAACCTTTATAATTTTCGAACAATTTAACTTCCCCGCTATGAAATCAGTCAAACATTACACTCCATTTTTAAGTGATGCCGCCCTGGCGGCAGAAAAATCGTGGATGCTCTCATTGAAGATTTGAAGAATTGTCTTTCCGTAGTATGACATTTGTGCTATGGGAGCAATTTGAAGGATTTAAAATAAACTTAATGTATTTATTGTTATATAACTTACTTATTGTATTTATTGTTGTTATTCTTCTTGAGCATCAGCCTATAAAGGAGGATTTCCCTTAATCGGCACGCTTGGCAGGTGAACTATCCATAGCATTAGCAGATGTCTCGCATCTTTGTCTCCGGTATGGGCATTTTACGTTTGATGAAAACGGGATGGTATGAATGGCATGTATCGGAAGCCATGGGAAGTTTTTAGCATTTCCCATTGTCGTTTCTTACGACACTTACCGGACGAAATAAGGTAGATAGATTTTCTTACGCTGTCGCCACACGGTTTCGTCAACTGTATTTGTTACTCCTTTAATCTTTATGTTAATAAACTATAAAATCTCAAATAAATTAAATTCTTAAGATTTTTCTATCTATCTTTACTTGGAGTCGGTAAATCTGTGAAATAAACGTGCATTGTGGATTTGAATAACGTACTCTGTAACATCTCGCAGCATGTGAGTAGTGACCAAGCGCCATATGAACCGCTCCGAGATGCGAGTGAGCTCTGGCCTCACCGGCCGCGTCGCCTGCTTCTTGACGCAGTGTTAGTTCCTGTTTCAAATAAAAAATTCTTAGATCTGACAGTATTTTAGTCTGTAGTCAAATATCGTTGTCATTTTTTTAATAAAAGAACGACATGTTTTTAACTACACGGTATCAGTATTATATGCTTGAAAACTCGATAGTCAGAATTCACTGCCTGTATTGATTGCTTGCCTATTCCTATGAAGTGACTCCTAGTAAGCAGTGAATTTTATCGAATATTAATGTTGATCAATATGATCAACCAATTCCTGTCTAATCCAATTCCATAACTTTTTTAAACGTAACCATTGCATTAGGGTACTCTCGCAACATGGATACGTCTTACATACTTGAATTACAAAATTGAATTAAGAACAAACACTCACATTAAATATTCATGGGTCATAAAATAATTCTTTCGTGCGAGAATTAAGCCCGCGGCCCGTATCGATGTAGCCAAACGTTTAACTAGTGCACGACCAAGTCGTTAAAATAGTATTAATTTTCATTCTTTAATATTTTTATTTACATATTAACTAACTTTATTGTTTGATCTATTCAAAACGTATTATATTTTACAACAATAATTCAGATTTTTTATATTTATTTAAAGTCCATCTATAAGTCACATTACCTGTGTATGATGCCCTAAGGCCGCGTCAAGTCTTCTCTGTAGACGCCGCGCAAGCCCTAGTGCTCCACATGCAGCTGCTTCTAACGAGCGATCACGAGCCTAAATACGTTAAAAAATATATCTTCTAAAATCAAATTTCACGTTATGTAACGTTATGTTACAAAAAAAAATTGTCATTGTTACATTTGAGTTTGAGCTCGAAATTGTCTCCGAAGACAGTTAAACAAAAAAATTAAAGATATTCATCGAAAGCTTAGATTAAATTTCACAGCTTATTTAAAAAAAAGTTTTAAGTGATAGAACAAAAGTTTAGAAGCAGCCAAAAATTTTATAAGAGAAGTTAGTTATTAAGCAAAAATAACAAAAAGGGCATCAAAATAAGTAAAATGAACGTAATGAGTTTTTTTTTAAGAAACACACTTACTTCTCTCGCAAACCGAAGCTGTCGCTGGTACATCTTCACTGCTTCTTCCACGTCTCCCATCTTGATCAACACATCGCCAATGTTACCCAAAGCTCTAAATTTTCCTTGAAGATGCTGAGTCATGTGGGCTATAGCCAGGAAGTATTTCTGACATTCTAGTGCAGTCTCTAAGTTGCCGAGGGCTAAGTGTGCGAGACCAAGGTTGCAGTATGCTCTGCCCATATTCATTTTGTCTTGGAGGTCTTTCGCTAGCGAAAGGTCTTGGTCGTAGTATCTGAAATTGAATTGAATATTAATAATGTTTTATATGAAGTCGGTGGATTCAAATGGTTCATGTCGTGGACCACCGTGATTTCTGGTATTCCTTGGATGAAGTTCAGCTGTGGATTTTTGATGATGACGATGATGATGATAATTCATATCAATTAAAATTCAATATATCTAGATGTAGGGACACCAACTAAAAGTAACGGTTAAATCACTGCAGTACTTTTTCTGTAACATAGATCTGTCCTATTGTAAAGTAATTTTCTTTATTATTTGGTTGGGTATTTTACCATGATACCATATTTGTGTAGTAAAATAATTCGTATATAGGGTCACTATGTGGAGCCATGTAAGATTTAATGACTGTTAATTTTTGCTTACAAGCGACATCATAAGGACGCGCGTTGAACTCACTTTAAGCGTACGTTCAGTGCAATATCAAGGGAAAGCACCACTCCTAACTTAACTGCTTGTACCAATCCAATTTTTGGATTAGACCTAACCTAACTTTAATATTATAAGAATTTTATGCTACTATGGTCCTTCTCTTGCACTCAACAAATTTACTAAAAATATACATAATCTAACTATGATTATACTGCATAAATGTAAGGAGCGACAACTAAACCGTGCAGTCAGTTATTTATGTAAAAATGAATGTACCGTGCCTGTCTTCATTTCTCTGAAACATACTAACAGTGCACTTGGCTTCGTTTTCTTATTTGACAATAGTTTCGTTGTACTGTGTAAATGAATTAGTATCGATTTATATAATACATATATATATATATATATATATATATATATATATATATATATATATATATATATATATTACAAGTGAAGGGAAAAAATATTATGATTTTATATGATACCTTACTGCCTCTCTGTAATTTCCTAGACAATAGTGCGCGTATCCCAGAAAATGACATGCTTTTGCCTCAGCAGTGACGTCACCCAGTTCTTGTGACAGCATGAGATGCTGCTCATAGTACGGCACCGCTTGCGCAAACTCCCCTCGAGACGATAAACAATTGCCAAGATTTAAAAGAGCACAAGCTTCACCCGCCGCGTCTTTTAACTCGCGCGCGATACCTGAAATTAAATACTTGCTCAATTAATATTTTCTATTCGAGTTCTGCTTAATTGAAACCGAGGAAAAGGTTGAATGGAGTGTATTAACCCTTTTACTGTCCCATCAATCATATATGAACATTTATATTGTTTAAGTATTGAAGTGTCTATTTTACGGACAGGAAACCTGTTAAGTAAAATAAAATAAGTGAAATAGCGAATGAAGTAATACAAACTACATCATACGATTAACATTACGGTGACACGAATTTATCCGTAAACCAAAACGATAAGACGTTATTCCATGGATATCTGCAGCAATTTATTTTACAAATAAGTGTGAGAAATAATCATACAGTCCACCTGGTGGTAAGTGAATTCTGTAGCCCACAGACACTTACATCTTTGCTCGATTAAAATTAATATGTAGTAGCGCTGTCACTCTTAAAGCTTAAAGATAGAATGGATCGTTACCAGTCAAAAGAGCATTTGTCTTTATCATTTTGCGCTGGTGTTCTTTAAGATTGTCTTCCATCACCGCTCCACTCATTACATATTGTACTTATCCCGATATACATCCTATAAAAAATCGAATAAAGAAAGCTACAGATGCGTTGCCACCCTTGAAAGCTAATGTGGAATGCTTCACATCCTGTAACTATACTATCTCGCCATACACTTTAAAGCATTGGGTTCACTGCTGTTTGGTGACAGAAATTATTAAGAAGATGGTACCCTTCCAGATTGATTCCTAAGCAGTAAAGATATTACCAACGGTTCAGTAGCGCAGTCGTTATGTGTATGGTTACAACGTTGCGGGACGAGACATACATACGAGTAGTTTTGAATCCTGCACGGACGAATGATATAGAAGAATTTCTTTAAAAATATTCTTTCTAGAACTTAAAATTATGTGATGAAGATTTTTAAACTCCGCCACTGAGCGCACACATCTGTTTTAAGGGGTTATAAAGGAGTTTTATTGTGTCATACTATTCAAATGCACTATTATATTTACATACATGTTTGTATGGGATTCTGTTCCCTATCATTTTTACAGAAAAACATTCATACCCCATCAAGACAGGTTAACAGATCATTTGTATGCTATGCAATTTAAGTGCTTGCTTTTCATCATTTCTGCATCGATAAAGATCATTATTATTCGACCTTCATAGCGTGCAATGTAAATATGGAATTTTTTATAAAAATAATATCCTAACATCGTCCGTTTCGTTTCACATTTTATGATTGACATACCTAAATGTGCTCGGTAATGAAACAGTGCCATATCGTGGGCCCCTAACGCTTGGTATGCGACCGCTAGGTTGCCGTGTGTGGATGCTTCCGAACTTCTATCATGAACTTCTTTCGATATGGTTAGCTCTTGTTTATGGTACTTTATAGCTTGCTCATAGAAGCCCGCCGCTGAGTATGCATTGCCTATATTCCCGTATGCGCGACCCATTCCCGCCTTATCCTGTAAATGAAAACATGCAATACTTAGTAACAGCAAGGGCTAATTAAGCATTTAATGTTAGGTATCTTTATAACGATATATATGAAGGCAGTATTTATAACAGATCCCAAATTAATGGTAAAACACCAACCGGTTCATTATTTGCTATGGACTTGCATAATAGACTTTATTTCTCAGCAGTCTGAGCACAAGATAGACTGTCACGCTACTGAAATGGGAACGTATTTTAACGGGTGTTTGTAATATTTTTTTATTTCTAAGATATGCAGCCTTTGTTACTTTCTCTTATTTTATTATCGAGCGCATGGAAAACTAGCACTTCTTTTTCTATTTCTTTATCGGCCTGTAAATACCTATCAAATTAAAGGGATCATTTGCTTTAGCCATCACACGTGGTTTTAAATTTTTAGACATCCAAGTTCTACTTTCAAATAAGATGGTAAAGCCTATTATCATTACAGCCTATTATCATAAGTCCACAGCTGAACAAAGGTCTTACTGAAGGAATACTATAAATCATGGTCCTGATTCAACTGCATTCATTATTTTTTTAGAAAATGCCCCAGAGATGCTCATTTGAGGTCGTTCGTAATCGGTACGAGATGTACTTAAGAAAACCTTTCTTCTCCTTTTTTTTCTTCAATGGGTTTTCGGTTCTTAGACCTATACGGCTGGCCCATTGTCACTTCAGCATAATATATCATATTATCAGCATATATAAAGACAATTATAATTTCAAAAAGCGACCGTAGCCAGATGGTAAATGATACGGACTATGAAACTAAATGGTCGTTGTATTGAACAAGCAAAACACAAGCATTATAAGCTTAACAGAAGCGGTTAAAGAGATTATTGGCAGTGCTAATAACACTTATTATTTTTAAAAGAAATTGAAATATGACTATACTACAAGGATAATAATAAATTTGTCATGCTAACCTGCAGTTGCCTCGCAATTGATAAATGTGCCTGGTGTAGCTTTAATGCGGCGTCGTGTTCCCCGAGCAGTTGATAAACGATGCCCAAATTGGAGCAAGCCCTGCCTTCACCTACCTGCGAAATTTAACATGTTTATAATTAATTCATTTATCTTCATTTTAGTAAGACAATATATTATATTTTTTTAATATTTTATTAAATAAGTTTTTTGTTAAGAAAATATTTCAAATAATAAATAAATAAGATTCCAAGGAACGTAGGAAAATAAGACTGATTGAAATTATTTTTGGGGTTATATCTTACTTTATAATTTATTGTTGAAAATGAGGATACCTACAGATCCGAACCTAATGTTCAGAACCTGCTATAAACTACACCAAAAACTTAGATTTATTTAAAGCAGAAACGTAAATATGAACACTGATTTGCTTCAATAGCTTAGCTAATTTTATTTTTAACCAGATATATAATTGTAAAAATATAACTCATCAAAAACAATAGCATATATCATAATAAATAGTTATTTTGATTGTGGCTGTTGGTTAAAATCGTTACCTTATCTCTTGCCGCCAAGGCGACGTCCAGTTGTCTTTCATGCCATTTCTTAGCTTGAGCGTAATCACCAGCACATCTGGAAACAAGGACCATATGATTTATTTTTATACTAGTGAGGAAGATAAATAAGCACACAAACCAACTGATTCTTGATTTAGAATCAAAATGCATGGTCAAAGGCTAGAACTATGAAATGCCTCGTTTAAATTTCATTGCGTAATATACTATAAGTGAGAAGTATACTTAAAACCTATATTCTATACTGTAAATTACTAACAAATACACTCACGGCAACTGTTTGAAGAGGGAAGGGGTTCATAGATAGTAATGCGAATCATTAGTAGCATCAACAGTGCGTGTAATACCTGCTTAGCGTAATGGGTAAATCTTTCAAGTAATGTTTGCCAGCTAGCATTTGCTTGAAAAAGCCTATGTTCAGCAGCGGACTTGGAAAGGCGTGTGAAATAAATTTACAGTGTAACGATGACAATAACCATCACAGTCCTTGCTGCACTCAGCTGGGAGTGTAGCACGGCCCCATCTAGGTAGGTACAACTGACAACCTGGAAACATATGTAGGAACTTAACAGATGCAGGTGACTCAGGACTATGCTTTATTATATTACTGCGGAGAGGCGTATGTTCAACAGTGATGACATGATGATGATGGTGATGAAATAAATAAATAAATAATTTTTTTCGCAAACCTTTGTCAAATAAATGGAATTCTGCTTTGATGAAATGATGCCAACGACGATTGTAAAGGAGATTGCTACTATCGCTTGAGGTAAAAAACTTATTTAATTAAAAATATTTTCGCCTGAATTAATAGCAACTATACCTTGCTGCGTGACCCAAACCAGCGTAGGCTCTAGCTTCTATGGCTCGATCACCTAGGTTCTGTGCTATTCTCAATACGTTTTCGTGATATGCGATCGCCTGAGAGAAGTTTCGCCTGTAATGGTATGATGAGCCTAGATTCGAGTAGGCTCTTGCTTCTTCTACCTGAAAAAAGTTAAATCAATAAATACATATTTTTTTAAATTATTAATCCATTCGTAGATAAATTAAGTAACCGGGTAAACAGTTTGAGTCAAACAAGTAGATTTTTGAGCCACGAGGAATAATGATCGAGTACGGCGTTAGTTTGACCAGTTTGGCAAACCTGTGAAATTGTTTGATGCAAACGCATAATTTTGTTTCTACGACGATTGGGTAAAATTTCGTAGTACTACGTAGCATACCGGCTTCGATACCCACGGTCAACACTGATGTTGTTAATTGATAATATTAGGCATCACGGGGTCTAGTGGTCGTAAGTGCGACTGCTGATCATTTCAGGTTCAGGTTCAAATCTCTGGTTGGGCTAAAATCAGTTATTGGGTTTGTGGCAGCGCTGTCGTCGCGCCACAAGCGAAACACAGGTGGTTCTGTTATGGAATTCTTTGTAGCAGCCCGGAGACAGAAAGTTGGCTGAATTTTAGTTTCATGCCTCGGAAAGCATGTAAAGTCGTTGGTCTTGCGTTTGATATCTTTCTGGTCATGCCGGATTACCATCTTATCCGACTACGAGGGTGAGAGAATAGAGTGTGCTTGCTCATACACTTATGTACTATTTATCTTGTTCTGCACAGGTGGCTTAACGTTAAGCGTCAGACTGTTTCAGACGCAGTGGCCTAAATACGTTCTAGAGACATTATTATGAATTGTAATTTTAATTAATAATAATCGTTTATTTGGTGGTGAAAAAAAATATCGTGAGGAAATCAGCATGTCTGGGAAAGTTTGAAGATTTGTAGAGTTCTCTAACACGCGTTGATGCAGGTCGAAGGACTCTACCTTTTTCCAAAATATCTCTCGAAAGTGAAAGGAGCCCAGTCTGCACCCAGCATTATAGCTTAAATAAGCTGTCCTAGCTTTTATATTTATCTAAATATTGTAATATCTACACATTAAATACTATATTATTTCTATCTCCATATATAGAAATCAATTATTGTCCGTTACTCTCGCTTAAACACAAAAACGGCTCGACCGATTTTGATTAAAAAAAATTGTGTGTTTGAGTGGGTCCCTGGATAGTTTCGATTCTCATTTGAACCCGGTAGGTAGCGCTGTTGTCGAGATCCAGAAATCACCCGTGCGAAGCCGGGGCGAATCGCTAGTCTTAAATAATAATTATCGTCACTGTAGCAGTTAATTACATTTCATACCCCGTCCAAGCTTTTAGCCACTGTGTCACCGAGCAGTCAAATTAAATGCAAAACATATAAAACATTTCATTACTTGTCTTATCTTTATTATTTTACCATTAAATAAGAGGAAAAAGATAGAAAAAAAAAACTTCAGAATAGCGGCAAAGATCCCAAGAAATATCCATTTTCTCGGTTCTCTAATTGGCCTCCATTTGCATAATGTGTTTAGTCGAATCGATTAGCAGTTACAATTAAATCCCATGCTTTAGAAGATTAGACAAGACCTCACTGACAATTGCAAACCTATAAAGCTGCCTTGTGATTCCTAGGATTGTAAAAGCTTGCACTTAGTGCTTGCATATAATTTGTATTTATGCATTGATTTATACTATTTATAAAGTCATTGCTTCAGTCATTACAGTCTATCACAAGCTCACCGCTGAACATGGTGTTCTCAATAGTGAAATTGTTATAACTTAATTTGTTTAATTCCGCGTAAAGAAATAAAATAACACTTACATGTTATAACAACTTCATTATAATGGATTTCCGCAAAGAAACGACTGTGATTCTTTAATTATCTTCCCAATATATTCCTTCATAAGAGGTATATTTGCCATAGTTGGCACACTTGGCAGGTGGGTTGGCAAAGGTAGCTTTTTAATATTTTCTGTTGCTACTAGAAAGATACTGCTACCCTCCTGACACCTGTTACGTCATCCACGGGAAGATATTTGGTAATGGACAACCTTACGGCCGCGACTACACGCACACTATTGAAATGACATTATTATTTTTTTATAATTGATAACCCTGAACAATAATGTCATTGAATAAATTATTTAATGTTAAAAATTACGAACTACCTAAGGTTTGTGTAAAACTACAATAAGATGAGATCATCAAATCAATCTCAACAGTCCGAACACAATCGCTAAGTAGCCATCTTTTCGGTTTTCTACAGGATACAATTCGGAGAGTGTGCACAGGAAATACATAATGTTGCGCGCCACTATTAATGTCTTGTACATTGCAACACTAGTTACTACTAGCGCCCTCTAGTGTCGAGTAGCAGAACTAGGAGAGTCAAGATCCTTCTAGAAATTTCGGGACCGATATGTACTCGAACATTCTAGATGTCGCTACAGTAGAAGGTTTTGGAAACTATCTGAGGCCGGTATAGACCACAACCGAGTCAGTATTGAATTCATGAATTGGCGATATAAGCGAATACTTCGAAGCGAAATAACGGCGAATTAAAGTGATCAGTAGTACAATTGCGTTTTATTATTAGTGTGGTTTTAAGTTGTAATTAGTCTTTTATAATTAAAGTGTCAATTTTGGTAATTCAATCGGCAGTTTTTAATTGTCACGAACCCCAAGCTCGTAACAATAACTTAACTCCTTCCTGTTCCTTCCACCCCCGAAAAGCCAACAGTCGGACAGTGTCCATCCTTTGGTTGGCCACTTAATTCTTACCTACGCATTCTAACCAAATAGTTTGCTTTATCGTTCGTCATGTGTGCAGTAAAGGAGTGGAATATTTTGCCATCATATATTTGTCTATATGATTACGATGTGGGTGTTTTCAAGGCAAGAGTGAACAGTCAGTTAAGCTAAGTATGTGCACTTTACCATCTTGGACTGCATCACAACTTACCATCAAGTGGGGGTGTAGTCGAAAACCTTATTTCCATATAGGTTATCAGTTGTTCGAGCTACATAGTATATAGAAGAAACATAGAATATGCATATTTTATTTTGAAATTACCCATTGATATACACAACAATATTATACGAATCTATAACTTCTATATAAATTTAACAGTTAGACTCTGCATGTCCTAAGTCATACCAAAAACAGTTCTCTATCATTTTAAGTTGCGGTGAGACCGAATGGTAACTTTGATTTTTATTGTTGATCCGTCTTACACAATAGGTATAATTTTTAAACATAAAATAATTTTGTTTTCACGAAAAATATAAATACTCTAAACTGTATATACCAATTTCTTTATAATTCCTATATATTATATGGCCAGTCCGTTGCTACTTCAGCTAATTAATCCGTTAGATTTTATTAGTTAGTTAATTCTGTTGCGAATACCTTCGTTACGGATTACTTCGATCTCAACAATGTTAAACTTTCGCAGGGTAGGATTAGTTGTAAATTTAGAATAAGTGTGACATGGTTGTTAGAAATGATTTGGACGAGTCCATGTTCGTCTCAAGACCCGTTAGGAGACACTATTACAGTCATTGAGTATAGCGCTATTTTCCAGCGATTATGCCATAATTACTATACGGCCATTGATATTGATACCGTATTCTAATTTTCCCGTCCGTAATATTTATTGCTTGAAATTAATATTATTAATAAAAACATAGATCAAGATAATTAAAGACGCATTAATACCTGATCGCCAAGTCTCCTTGCAAGTCGTAGGTGTTGCGTGTGACAGTCCACAGCGGAATCAAATTCTCCCATTGCGAGATAGACAGCGCCGACATTTCCTATTTCCCGTGCTTCTTGAAGACGGTCTCCCATTTGCTTGACTAGCTGAACGCATTGCTTGTGACTGGCCAAGGCGTTAGGATAGTCTCCGATGGCAGTGTACACGTGGCCTAGAGATGTAAGAGCTGCGGCTGCGGCTTGCGTATCCTGTTGATAAGCATAAAGTAAATATTTTTTATATACCTTTTAATATAAGTGCTATTATTAAAACATAGTGTATCGATGAATCAAAGCTCCGACTTCAAAAGCTAATAATTATGTCGAAATTATTTTTACTTTTTTTTTTATTTTAAAAGCCGGTTTTACTTTTATTTTTATGATGTTACTTTTTTAAGGTCTTAGACTAAGACATATCACAAGTTCGAGGCAAGAACTGAATTTTTTTAACAGTTATATTAGAAACTCTATTCTTCCCTTATTTTTCCTTCCTTAGGGGTGCAAATTTTTCTTTAAATTTGTATGAGACTATTCTTCAAGTATAGCTTATTTAATAGAAGAAGAATCATTTAAATCGGTTTAGTCGTTTCTAAGGTCGTAGTAAAAATACACAAAAAAAACATAGATACACGTAATAATAAAGGTTTGTGAGTCGGAAACTGGAAGAAAGCACTGCTATTTGGCGGCAGAAATATGTGAGAGGGTAGATAGCATCCTACTACGACCCCAGACAAACTCCTAGGCAGAAAAAAAGTGTAGAATCCTACTACCTAGTAGACCTTCTCTTTGCTGAAGTTAACTTACTAGGCCTTGAAGAAGGTGCTCGTATCGGTAAGCGAAGTGTAGGGTGCTCCCCCCCTCCTCTTCTAGATGCGAGTGACGACCTAGTAAGACATGTTAGGAAGCCGATGGATACAGGTGGCTGAGGACCGTGCTTTGTGATATTCTTTCGAGAAGGCTTATGTTCAGTAGTGGACTTGTGAAGGGCTGCAATGATGATGATGATAGGCTGAATTAAGCTCTTACTATCAGGTATAGTGTTGGTTCCTCTCTATAGTAATATAACAAAATCTCAAACATAGGTGCATGATTTTTATTACAGTAAAATATGCCATGTGAATAAAGTTTGTAAATCCCAGATTTAAAAAAAAAAACATATCTACGCAGACTTATCAATTTATTGTTGACTGTTATATTCTACGTTTTCTTTATGATTTAAAAAAATGCAAGTGGTAATATTAGAAATTTTGTACAACTGACTTCAATATAAATAAAATGAGAATATTGTCAATGTAGTCGAAGTCAATTAAACACATATTATTAAGGATAACTTATGGAACCACATGAAATGCACCAGCTATCAAATAAAAAAGAATTGTCAAAATCGGTTCATCTAGAAAAAAGTTCTGGGTAAGCAACACGCATAAAAAATGTCGTTGAATTGGGTACCTCGTTCTTTTTTTGAAGTCGGTTGAAAAGAAAAGGAATTCAACGTCGTAAAGCACTGGATTAAAACACGTATACTTTTATTTATTTTAGTGGAAACAAATCAAAGTGGAAATACTGGTTAAATTACTTCATTTGTAAGAATTTATAAAAAAAAAGTTTGTTCAAGGTAATGTCAGAGTAATCATCATGCAATCTCTTTCAGGGATATTAAAAGAGTCAAAATAATAAATATGTGAGCAATAAACTTGCAAATTTAATTGTTTTCGGTATTTTAGTATAAATTATCCACTAGAAAACCTTATTCGGTAGCATCTGGTAGAATTTCTTCTGTATTGTGGAGGCATATAACACACCTATATATATAACGCACAAACACCCAATTATTTATAGACAATTATTTATAGACTATAACAATACCTACTTTTTGCGAGAATCTCACCCACGGCGTGTATCCTAATCAATAGTAATCATGTAACCGTACAATTCCACGCGGCCTTCTTCTGAGCATCGATGAGGTTGTGCGGCATATCGAAAATTATCCTTCCCACACGAAGTTATTTGACTAAAATTTCGTGAACCATTGGGCTACTGAGCTGATATTCTACCATTAACTTCAGTAAAAAGTCATTCTACTATTAAGTTCAGTAAAATGTTTTAGCGATAAAATGTTTGTTTGAATTCAAATTCACTTTGTTAGTAAGAACAATGTTACTAGGTGGCAAATGCTAATTCATAGTATATCGAATAATTACGAGTAAAGACCTGATTTCAGAAGCTATTATGTGGAAATTATTTAAATTTTTTATACTAACAACTAGAGTTTTCCACCCTTAGGGTCGGAAGTTTATCTTTAAATTTAATTTAAAAAAGAAACTACTCTTGAAATATAAGCTATTGAATATAAAGAATCATATAAATCTGTTCAGCCGTTGCCAAGAAATCGGTAAACGTACAAAAAAGACATACGAGAACCTTCTAGTACTTTTTACTCTTAAGAAGTGGTAAAATTAAAAATTTTGTACAACCAACTTCCATATAAATAAAATGAGAATATCATCAATGTAGTCGAAGTCAATTAAATAGGCATTATTAAGGATAACTCAAAAACGACTGCTCAGAGCTTGAATCCAATTTATACTGAACCAAACGAGAAGCACTAGCTTTCATATAAAAAAATAACCATCAAAATCAGTTCACCTAGAAAAAAAATTCTGAGATAACACATAAAAAATACAGTCGAATTGAGAACCTCCTCCTTTTTCAAAAGTCGGTTAAAATAATGAAAGAAGTTGAAGTTGTTAAAAAATTACGAAGCAGTTCCGGAGAGTAATTGCAATAGAATAATTTACTATTTGGTGTAGTAATATAAGTAGAAAACAGGAAGTAAAGCGATTAGACGATTCAACTGTAGAATTAAAAATAATTCTAAATATTTAAACAACTATAAGAAACGACTGGATGTGTTTCCTGTTCCATTTGACCACTTAAGTAGTTATAACTTTTTATAAACCCTGGGAACGCTCTCCCGGCGATATCGTAAATCGCTAAAGGACATTCATGCCACAGACTCGTCGAAAAAGCCCACTTTTACTACTTCAACAGATAATACCGAGATTTGTGTTCATATGAATTGAATAGATACAAAATTTATACGTTGACTTATCACTTTAATGTCGTTCTGAATAGGATTTAAGTGAATAAAAATTATTCACCTTGAGTATTGAATTGAGAGAGATTCAATATGGAGACTTAACATTAATAAATTACAATGGAGTGACTTTTCATTGCATAACTAAGTTGATAAAATATTAAATATATTATTAGGTATTACAATTCGTATAGTAAGTATTTGAATAATCAAATATTTATAATTTAATGTTTTAAACGGCTTTTGTTTACACATCTATTAAATATATGTTTTTCAATTTTATTATCAGTGGACATCGTAAACATCTTATTCCTCAAGGCAACACTTTCTCACGATCTTATCCTTCACTATCGAGCACGTGCTAAATCAACTATTAATATTGCAATTAACTTTGTACTTGCGGGGATCACACACGGGTTGCTTGCATACTGTGAAAGTTATGGCAAGTACGTAGCTACCACGGCTATAAAATTATATTTAAGTGCTACATACTATTTATTATATTTTATATTTCCCCTTTCTACAAAAAAATATTACAGGTAATTACTATGTACGTCATTTTGTTTGGATGGTTTTATGTAACTGATTTAAAATTAGTTCTTAATTAGTTAGTAAACTTCGAATGTTAATCAAGGTTAATAATCTAAATGTTAATAAAGGTTATTGAGTCACAATGATCTATAATATCTTAGTGCTTGAAGTTTTGAATGTAATTCTACAGGGTTATTTTGCAATAACCGAGCAAATTTACAGGCAAGGTTCAAAATAAATAATATAGACAAATGGTGAAGAAAAATTACAAACTCAAATTCAAACAATCTGTTCTTTCCATTTTTAAATTCAAAGTGCATGGTAATGCATTATTTTAACTGATTTTACTGCGCACGCATACATTCGTAAGGATCAATCGGTAGGCAAAAACGTTGTTGACCTTAATTAGATAATTTCTAATAAAAGTACTTACTCGTATTTTCAAAAACTGAAATAACGGTATATCATTATCTAATTTTTTTTATAGGAGAGGGGGCAGACGGGCATGCGGCGCACCTGATGGTAAGTGACTACCGCCGCCCATGAACAACTGCAACACCAGGGAGGGAATTGCAGATGCGTTGCCGGCCTTTTAAAAAGGAGTACGCCCTTTTCTTGAAGGTCCCCAAGTCGTATCGGTCCGGAAAAATCGCTGATGGTAATCGATTCCACAAGGAAGTCGTGCGAGGAAGAAAACATCTTCTAAATCGCACAGTGTGGACCGCCAATCATCCAGATGGTGTGGATGGTATCGGGAGTTCTGCCGCGATGTGCGTTCGTGAAATTTGGCGGCTGGGATTAATCCGAACGGTTCCTCTGATAAGGATTTCTTATCACTTCAAACGCTATAAAATGTGTAAAATTAATTTTATTTAATATACTCTTGTAAACAATTAAATAATGTAAATCTAATACCAAGCTAATAATCAGACAAGCTGTGGTTCTTATAGAAATTATACAGTTAATTGCTTTGCACAAATATGAAGATAATCTTTCTCTTGTACATGATCTCGCAATAGTCAACTGCTAGTCATTAACATCCTTTCTACAATGGAAACTGAACCTTCTCCGATGTAGGAAGGATTTGTAACACGTTCAGTAGGTGGATTGAATATTTCAGTTTTACTCCAGTTTTGAATCTCCTCTGCTCCGCGTCGCCGTTTATATATATTAAGATCGGTTAAAATACCAGTAGATGGTTATTATCTATCAACAAGATAATTGTACAAAATTTGATTGAGCATCATATTATATTAATAATTAAGCACACATTAAAAAGGTTATAATTGGCTAAAATAGTTACTTAAAGACGATGCTGCGCTAGATAATTTTCGATAGGTACATTATAGTGACGTTGGTGCACTCGGTATTATTATTTAATATAAAATTTACTTTATGTATTAGTTCTATTGCTGTGTGTCAAACTCTTTTGTTTTCTTCTTCTGTGGAATGCATAGTAAAAACAAACAAACAGGATAAAATCCAAATAAAAGATGATTAGAATGCGGCGTATCCTTTTCACTGAGGAAGTGAATGACAAAAAATATCTGACGACAGACCGCCGGTAGAGTCTTTGTCTGAA